ATAGCAGGTGATAAGTGTATCCTATTCCTAGTGTTAGTAGTAACAGTGAATCTGTTACACAGGACGTCAAATGTCCCAGTACTCTGTCAGCGTTGTGCCTAGTGTAATGGGTAGCCGAGTGGTAGGCGCGGTGAAATCAACAAGAATTAGTTTTATTCTACTTCTTTCAGGTACACACCTGAAATATAATTATTAGTGAAAGAAGAAGCGGCAAAATAACTGAGTTTCTCTCCGGTGCTCACCTAGAGGTTGAATAGTTCGTTATTATCAAAATCTCCTCTAAACAGAAATGCGCAGCAGCTTTTATGCAGCAGACGCCGTACGCTTACATACAGAGATACACTAACTATACATCAGGCAAAGAAACGTATAAGTTTCGTACTACTTCCGTATTGGTCGGGCACGGATACTACACCTAGTGGTGGCACGTTCGTTTTTTTATTGTTGTAAGGAATCTTATTACAGCGGTGGACATTTACCCTGAACTCGTATACATATGTCCGTTTCCGTCTTCCATTGACTGTATATGTGGTTCATCATCATAGTTAAATTTTCATGTCACAGATATATTTGCAACAAATATCTTTGCAACTGTGGTTCTCGTAGCCATGGCTGACGTTCAATCCTATTTTAGGCTCGGATTTGCACTGATGAGGCCTAATTGACCGAAACAGTCTGGCTGTCTGCATCATTGAGTATTTTCTCCTCGATTTCGGTTTTGTGGAGCACACTCAATAGGACGCACTTGTGCTGGTTAGCTTTATGCTTTGCCCGCGACTTCGGGTAGTTTGAGCACTGTCAGCGCTAGTACATCGAGCTGTCCTAATGTCCGTGGTTCTCGTAGCCATGGCTGACAGTTCAATCCTATTTTAAGTTTGGAGTTGCACTGACGAGGCTTCATTGGCCGAAACAGTCTGGCTGTCTGCAATATTGGATATCTTTGCAACATAAATTTCAGTAAAATGTCTGACATTTAGAGTGCGATATGTTTTTAAATTTTTATGGACAAAGTGTCTGAGATCCGGGCTACAAATAGTTTTCAATACCCTGAGTAGGGCCCAGCGTACTACACAAGGCAGAACATCAGAGACCAGAATCTTACTTGTGACTGCAAGTTTTTTCCTTAGCTCGATGTCTGTTTATCTGCCTCGGTATTAAGGTACTATTGTATCCTTATGTGTGGACACAAAATTATTATTAGCTTACATGCCCAGAAATACTGTGGCTGAAAATATCTTACCCAAGATAGACAGCATTAGGGTTACATTGACAGTGCGTATCATGTGACTGCTGCCATCAAATCCAGTATTGTTCACACTGCTCACACATGTGTAGTGCCCACGGTCAGCATATTTCACATTCGTCAAAGGTAGTATGCTGGTATAAGATGCTGGAGAAGTTCTATTTCCAGATGAGGTCATGGTTGTATTGATCTGAGTGTGTGGAAGCTGAACACCATCATGGTACCATTCTATGTTTGGACTAGGGTATCCGTATGAAGTGCAGGTAAATGATGAAGAGGACGATCCTTCGACCAATGCCACATTATTTGGTCCCGTTGAGATTTGAGGAGGAACTAAATATAAGAAATTTCATTTAGAATAGGTAAAAATTAATATAATTAGGGTACTCGTTACACTGCAACACGTGGGGACTAAAATCCTTATTGAATGATGAACAGACATATTTTCCCAGTAACTGTTTAACCCTATTTCTGCCACAATATACTTGAATGAGCTTTGTAACTGCAAGTAGAAACGACAAAGCTACACTCCGCCCACCTTGGTTGTTTTCGTGCACCAGCACATCTTCTCCAGGCGTCAGGGGCCCAGCCTCCCCGCCCATCCGACTCGCCAAACCCAACAGCGCAACTGAACAAAAGGTTCTACATATTATCTTGACAAGACGAAGACGAGATTAGAAGCGGTGAGGCCTCCTGCAGTTTCATACAGAATTACAGATGGAGCGGACTCGCTCCCTTCTATTTACACTGCAACGTTCGAACACATTTTCGTAGTTAAAACAACGTTTCGGCATATAGCCCTCATCAGGTTTGCAATGATGTGCACTCTACAAAGGAGCAGCAAATATACTGTGCTGTGCTGTGTTTGCGCCAAATGTGTCAGCTACAAAGGTGGCGAAAGGGATTGGTGATATATTAATATCCAGATACGATATATTCACAGTAGTGCCCAGCCAGCATTAGTGTTTACTTGCGGCCGCAAGTTGCGGATTTCAACAGCTTCTCGCAGTATCGTCCGCTCCATCTGTAATTCAAGACGAAGACGGACAGACAAGAAGACCGGACACGACAAGGCAAAACTGATAACTAAAGAAAAGGACAAACATTGCGGCAGCATATAATGAGCATGCGCGCAAAATAATGTTGCACGCGCGACAATGACGTAAGCGTTCCATGGTGTAGACATGTACAGAAGACTGCACATGCAACCAAAACAATGCAACAAAGTCAAGTCTAAACCACTACGAAATAAAACTAAAGAACAACATAAATAAGCCATGAAAAGTCTTTCACTCTAGACCCGTTGCGCAACATACTCCCCGCCAAAGACCTTTTCAAGGCTTAAGGAGGCTACAAACTGTACTATAATCTATACGCTGCGCGCATAGATAATCTTAACTCACAAACGGCAAAATAAATAGTAACAAATGAACGATCAAAGGGCCAACAGAAAATACAAGCGGAAGGCAGCTTCCGAACTGTCACCAGGCTAGGCACCAGCAAATCAAGGCAAAAACTACAGTCAACATCCGACCCATCACCAGGCCAGGCGCAAACAAATAACCTACAGAGCCAACAGTACATCCGACCTATCACCAGGCCAGGCACCAACACATCAAATACAGATCAAACAAAGCGAGCAAATCAAAACTACAAACTTGTACAACAAATCAACGGCAAAGCGGGAGCACCTTCTAAACTCCTTCGCACTCATGGCGGGTTATTTGTTCACGATGCGTTTTCCTTCGCACCCTCCATGTCCTTCTTCTTGTCGTCGAGAACAGCGCCCTGCAGGGTTCCTCCACTGTGGACGACCGTACCGTGGGTTATTTGATTTCGATGCGTTTTCCTTCGCACCGTCCTTGTCGTCGGATTCAAGCAGCTCCCTCGGAGGTCACACAATCCCAGGTACAAACTGCGGACAACGGCGCAGCTCCCTCGTTGGTCACTCGTCCAGTCTGGCACGGTGCAAACTGCCTCCCAACGACGTAGACGTACAAATGGTTATTTGATTTCGATGCGTTTTCCTTCGCACCGTCCTTGTCGTCGGACTCAAGCAGCTCCCTGGGAGGTCACCCAATCCCAGGTACAAACTGCGGACAACGGCGCAGCTCCCTCGTTGGTCACTCGTCCACGCATGCACGGTGCAAACTGCCTCCCAACTACTAAGACGTACTAATGGTTATTTGTTCTCGATGCGTTTTCCTTCGCACCGGAGTTCCTGCAAGTTCCTCGTCTTCCTGACTATCCTGGCGTGGTCGCCAATTTCGTGCACCAGCACATCTTCTCCAGGCGTCAGGAGCCCAGCCTCCCCGCCCATCCGACTCGCCAAACACAACAGCGCAACTGAACTAAAAGTTATACATATTATCTTGACAAGTTGAAGACGGACAGACAAGAAGACCGGACACGACAAGGCAAAACTGATAACTAAAGAAAAGGACAAACATTGCGGCAGCATATAATGAGCATGCGCGCAAAATAATGTTGCACGCGCGACAATGACGTAAGTGTTCCATGGTGTAGACATGTACAAAAGACTGCACATGCAACCAAAACAATGCAACAAAGTCAAGTCTAAGCCACTACGAAATAAAACTAAAGAACAACATAAATAAGCCATGAAAAGTCTTTCACTCTAGACCCGTTGCGCAACAGTTGTCTTTGTAATAGACAAGATAAATTGGGAAGGAGGATCGGTGCGAAAACGAAATGTACAAAACCGAACGCCAAACTAATACAGTACTCCCCGTGCCTGACGTTTTGATTGACTAGTTGACTACATTTTGCTACTCTTTCTTTTTCCCTCCCCTTATTTTTATTTATCGCCGTGGTTGGTGTGGTGTCAGACAGAGTTTATTCACAACTAGCAAGGTGGACAACAAACGAAGAACAACATTCCAAGCAGTGTGCGAACACGAAAAGGAAGTGTGTCGAACACCAAGGAAAGTGTGTACGAGCGCATCTGGAAGCAGGAGCTCTAGGCGCGTACAGGGTGCAGGAGTTGCACCATATACGGAAGTATGCCATATACCTCATGCCCCTCCTAAGATAAAAACGTGCAAGTGTTTATCTAATCAACAAAAAATAATGTGAAAATTGCATGTGCGTAGCAAATGACATGTCGCGGAGCAGCAGCAACTTCCAACAGACTTGTAAAAGGGATAATTGCAAAATTTATATACATGAAGGTTTTCAACTGCGAAACAATGGGAATGACAATTGAATAGGTACAATGGACATCAACAACTGAAACGAGCGATTGTTAATTGTACGATTGTCAACGCGTTGAAATAATGTTAAAGTGGACATTCTGCCGCCGGGGACGTTGGCTTGTTCGAGGTGGTACCTGAACAGTTGACTGTGGCGACGACTGAGTCACAGGGACTGCTTGTGGTGCAGCGTCGGGTACGGGAGACGATGCAGGCATGGCTGTTGAAGCTGGAGCATGAGGACGGTATGGGCGGAGGTAGCGACGGTTGCGCCAATATACGCGTCCACTCGGTAGCTTGACGTAGTAGTCGCGGTGGTCACCGAAAGCCACGACAACGCCGCGGGAAGACCACCGTTTTGTCTTCGGGTGCTGAATGTCAACGTGCGTCCCAATAGACAAGTGGGGAAGCTCTCGGTGAGGCTGACTGGGAGGCCGGTCTACTCGATCAACATCATCCATGTCAGATGCGGTGTCTTGCCAGTGGGAGTCGAACTGGCTCCATTGGGCGAGAACGAAGGAGACGAGTGGGCGACCATACAGTAACTAGGCAGGACTCTTTCCCGAAGTGCCAGGAGTATTGCGCCACTCGAGAAGGCCACGCTGGAAAGCGTCGGTGTCTAGATTACCGTCATTGGTAGTCTTTTCCACCAGGCACTTCATTGCCTTTACGGCTGCTTCCGCATGTCCGTTCGACTGTGGGTAGCGAGGGGACGACTTGATATGACGGATTCCCCAGCGCTCGCAAAATTCAGCAAATCTGTGAGACGCAAACTGAGGACCGCCATCCGTTGAAATGACCTGTGGTACGCCTACATCTGGGAACCACCTGCGGAAATGACGAATGACGTCAGCTGACGTGGCTGAGTGACCAAGCTTGGCTATGCATGGCCATCCGGTTAAGTGGTCGATGAATACCAAATACTCGCAACCTTGGCAACTGAAAAGGTCAGCACTAACACTTTCGAATGGCAAAGCGAGCTTGCGGTCAGAAATGGGCGGTTCGGCAGACTGAGACTGCTGAAATTCACGGCATGCATCACAGCTGCGGACTAGCGTGTCGAACTCACTGTTCATTCCGGGCCAATACACTGTCTGACGAGCACGTCGTTTGGTACGGGTCAGACCTTGGTGGGCTGCGTGAAGGTCGATCAGCGTTGACGCACGCAGAGAGGCTGGGACGACTATGCGTAGACCTTTCAGGACTATGCCATTGTCGGTGGACAAATGTTCATGCACGTTCCAATACGCACGAAGAGGCTCGGGCAGCTGCTTTTGTGCTGAGGGAAATCCGTTCTGGATATACCCGAGTAGCATCTGAACCCTTACGCCACGATGCTTTCACTTGATACGGACGAAGTTTCATGATCAAACGGAGTAGACGAGAGTTCTCAATCTGGTCAAGGGTGTAGCTGTTGATAATCGGAACAAGCGGACAATGGTCGGTGATTAGTGAGAACTGTGCACCAGATAGATACAAGCGGCACTTGTGCACTGCCCAGACGACTGCGAGGCACTCGAGCTCGATTACAGCGTACCGTGTTTCAGCGTCAGATAAGAAACGACTTCCACACTGGATGAGGTGCCATTGCTGGTCATCATGCTGTTGCCATAGGCCAAATCCGAGGCCATTCTTCACAGATGCATCAGTCTCGAGACGGAGAGGCTTGCCAGGTTGTAAGAAAGCTAACACTGGTGACTCAGTCAGGATGGCTTTGACGGCTTCGAATGCTATGGTGTGCTGCTGATCCCAGGCGAACTCATTGCTGGTTTTCAGGAGTGGGCGAAGCGGCTCACTTAGTTCAGCAATGCGCGGTGTGAAGTCGCTGCATTGGTTGACCAAACCGAAGAATGAGCGGAGGTCAGTGTGGTTGCAGGGCACTTCGAACTGGCGAATGGCAGATGTCTTGCTACCAATAACGGCATAACCATCAGCATTGATAACAAATCCGCAGAACTGTACTGCACTAGCGCCGAATACAAACTTGTGTGGGCTGAGCGTAATATGATGCTCACGGGCACGGTGAAGGACGTCACGAACGTGGGTGACGTGGTCTTGAAAATCAACGTCATGTACTAGGCCGTCATCAACGACTTTGACGAAGTTAGCGAGGCGGTCAAATGCTGCGTCTGTGCGGCAGTTGAATTCGTTACCTGCTGAGGACAGACCTTGAGGGTTGCGGCAATAGCGATACCGACCCCAGGGCGTGATGAATGTCGTGAGCGGCTTCGAGTCGTCGGACAGGGGTATTTGCCAGTACCCAAGACGAGCGTCGAGTGTGGTGAAGAAACGGGCTTTACCAATAGCTGTCACGGCGTCACGCGGAGTACGAGCTGGGTGTGTTGGTCGGCAGACTTGGTCGTTGAGTTTACGCAAATCAACGGTGAGGCGCTTCTCGTTAGAAAACTTTTTTTATCTGCGATGACGATCGGGTGGCACCAGTCTGACGGTTTAGTGACTGGCTCAATAATTCCATTGATCACCATATCGTCCAGTTGAGATTTTATCTGGTCTCGGAATGCGAATGGGATTGCGCGGGCACCATTAACACGAGTTGGTGTGGTGTCAGATTGAAGCTTTATCTCCATGGGAGGACCAGCCATGGGCTTCAATTGGGAATCGTCAAATACATCAGCAAACTCTTGCATCAGCTGAGCCTTAACATCAGCAATGTCTGCACTACTGGTTTCGGATATCACACGGGAAATCCGCGGCCAGGACTCAGGGAGAATGCCAAGAGCACGGAGAGATTGGCATGACAGCAGCGCCTTGTCGAGGTCTTCATACACATGAAGTACCGTGGTGTGCTGGGCTGAGCCAATGGAGAGCGTGGCAGAAATCTTTCCCAGGCTAACCAGAGAGGTGCCGTTTGCTGCTGAAACAGTGTCGGAATCGACGGCAAGGTTCTCAGGGAAGCCACCTAGCTGGGAAAGATGTGCTGGCCCAATGGCGTCAACATCACTGTCGGTGTCTGGAATCCATGTCATGGCTTCGGCGGTCGGTTCTGTGTTGAGCTGCGTGTGGACACTGAGTTCTAGACCATGTCGAACAGAGGCACGTTGCAACTTAAGTTGGCCGACTTTGCCGGATGCTGTTGGTTTGCCTTTGTGCGGGCACATGGACTGGAAATGTCCGACACGTTGACATCCATTACATTTGCGTGACTTCGCAGGACATGTGCCTTTAGTGTGGGGACTGCGACCACAGCTGGGACACTTGTCACCTGCGAGCTTGTCTGGTGTAGACTTCACGGGAGCGGGCCGGCTCACCTTCTGCTGTTTATAAGATGATTTCTTAGCTGCGTGCACGTGACCACTGGAGGGAATGCCAGAGGAAGTTTGGCAGGCTGCTTCCTCAGCGCGGCAGAGCTTCACGGTTGCCTCTAGATCCAAGTTCTGGAGGGCCAGCAGCTTGTGACGCACGTCGTCCTCAAATACGCCTGTCACAATGCGGTCACGTAGTATGTCGTTGTTGAATATCAACAGGCCTGCCTTGCAGAGGTTGCACATTGCCTGGTTGCAGGTATGACATACTGAACACCCAGAAAAGTCACACGCGTGAAACAGTTCACGGAGGGCCGTATAAAAGGAGTCAAATGATTCCCCACGCTGCTGCCGTCTCTTGTAAAATTCGATTCGGTCGAGCAGCGGGTTCCTCTGCCGCCGGATGTACTGCTGGAGGACCGGGATGGCATCAGCAATGTCAGCGTTTTCGGGGAAGGCGATAATGCCTTCTCGGATGAAACGGCGCAGGTCCTCATCTAGGGCCTGGCGAAACGCTGACATACGTGTATGGCGGTCGTGGCTGGCGAGACGTTGGCATTGCGCATAGTCACGCCAGGCCTCCTCCCAAGCAGTAAATTCTGCCATTGTGGCAGTAAACAACAATACTGGTCGTTCTGCGGACACAGACTTGGGTGCGGGTGCGGGGGTAGGACAAGTACTGGTCTGGTTGGACATCCTTTCCATCAGGGTCTGAAACTGCTGGTCTCGCAGTGCAGACGCCTGTGCCTGAGTTGTCAGGAGCTGCAGGAGCGTGGCGACGTCAGGCACTCCATTGCCAGAAGGTGCTGCGGGATCGCTGTTCGCCATGCTGATCACAAATGCTCGTTGTGACAGCTCACACGACTACGTCCTACGAAAGAAATTGACCAACACTCCTATCTAAAACGAACTAACAAACTAACTGCAGGGTAATCTAATCCAAATCCAACGGAGTGCTACACTGCTACTGGGCCAGGTAAGACACTACAAACTAGGTTGGTGTGGACAGAATGGAAACTACAGGACGAAATGTTCACTGCGCCATGTGGTGTCAGACAGGGTTTATTCACAACTAGCAAGGAGGACAACAAACAAAGAACAACATTCCAAGCAGTGTGCGAACACGAAAGGGAAGTGTGTATGAACACCAAGGAAAGTGTGTACGAGCGCATATGGAAGCAGGAGCTCTAGGCGCATACGGGGTGCAGTAGTTGCACCATATACGGAAGTATGCCATATACCTCAGTTGGCAATCACCCACTCTCTTAACATTGGCCGGTATTTCCACCGAGTCGACACGACGAGTCGGTGAAGAAAGAAGGAGAGATGACAAGACGAGTCGGTGAAGAAGGAAGGAGAAAAGCAAGACACATCTGCAACATCTTTGTTTGATCAAACTGATCTGAGCTGCAGATACGAAGCGTCGACCAAGCAACCCTGACTGGAGTGAATGCCCCAGCTGGCCTCTCGTTTGTCAGTGGTTGCTACTAGATCTGTTAGTGTTAGTATCACTGTGACGACAACAAGTTTCCTGGTGTGCATTGACATCGGCATCAGTGGGGCCTCCCGCTGTTGATCCTGTTGACGGGAGGACAGGTCGGTGTGAATCCTGAACGGCAACCGAGCCTGTCGCGTTGGGGGATCAAAGCGGTGAGTCTCGCACTATCCCAGATGGAAGTTGGCGCGGATTTAAAGTCATATTCCGGCTTTGCAGGAACATTGCTGAAGTGGTTTCGGGGTGCAGCAGCGGGATGTCCGTTTGCAGCAGGTTCCTCATGATAATCAGCATCAGTAGGCAGTTGGAAATGACTGAGGATCTGTGCGTGGTCAGATGCACCAAGAGGAGCAACAGATGTAACAGAGAGTAGTAGGTGCGGATGATCCGTGAGTACAACGTCAATACACGATGTTGAGCCGTGGGGGGTAAAGTGTGTGGGGAATGTCACCATTTGCTCAAGGCCAAAACAAGAGAAGAGGTTACGTAACTCCCTTCCAGCACGATTCATGGTGTCACTAGGAGACAAGTCAGAGTGGCGAGCATTCAAGTCTCCTGCAAGTACAATCGCAGAATTAGGGAGGCTTATATTGGACAGACAGTCCTCTAGGAGGTCACTAAATGCCTGGACTTGGGAGATGCTGTCTCCAGGGGGTCGGTAAACAGAGCAGATGATGAGGGAGAGTGAGGGAAGGATAACTGGCCGCAATTCGAGCCAAACCGCCTCCAGTCCACAGCGCTCAAGGTCGAAGCGGCGCTTGATGGACATGAACGATCTGTCAGCTACAAGAGTAGCAACACCGCCATAGCCTCTTGCTGGCAGGTTATCAGAGCTGGTTGTGGGTGGGCGGTCCATGCGGTATGAGGTGTAGCCTGGAATTGAGACGTCTATGGCAGCTGTCAGCCACGTTTCACATAGGCAGATTATGTCTGGAGAATACTGCTCACAGACTTGACTAAGCTCAGCTAACTTATTTACTATGGAGCGGCAGTTACTTTACTAGGACGGCCACCACTTTCAGTACTCCTAGACCGGCCAAACGGTGTCATTTGACACCTGCATACATTTCCATGTCTAAGACCTATGATATAGGTTATTATAGTTTTAGTGTTCAGTGCTGGCTATGACTAGCGGCATTTATGATGTACACAACACTTTAGGATTCACCCAGACACTATTGCTGGCTATACGCAACTAAAATTCGATGTACGCGTAACGGCAATTGCGAAGGATGAACTCAATTACTGGCAAAACTTCAATTACTTGCATAGGAATGTCTGGTGTTATCCGTTTTTCTCTGCGATGGCTGGAAGTGGG